TAAAAAAAAAAAAAAAAAGAAAAAAAAGAAAAAAAATAACTCGAAATATATATATTCTCTCTTTACTTAATCGAGATTATAATACGCGCTCGGTTATATATACTTTCTCGGTTATACGATTTTTCGCCATTCTTTCCTAGAGGTAGGAATTCATAAATATACGATTTTAACGTCGTATAATTGATCATTGAAAAGTTGGGCGAACGATGACAATGCTCCACGCGAGGAACATCTCCGGACCCTGGACGACCTTTTTCGTATCGCGGAGGCGGTGGATACTTTATACTTGTATTGTAACGAAATTTATGAACGATCGAGATAATAAAATGCGACGAGGAATCCCGAGTTTCGAGGCTCGCAGTTTCGGGTGAATATCGGCCGACTAACCAACTATTCCCTTGATCCCGGCACCGAGATTACGTCGTATATCGATAAATAATAACTTTAACGCGAGGAAATTAACGTTTCTTTTATTGCACGGCCTGATACCTGGCTTCGCGCGACAACTTTACTGCCACGACCACGAGCTCGAGAGAACGAACATCGCCTCCGTAATATCGCCGAAAGAAAACCTCCCTTTTCATTCGAATTTCGAGACCTTAACTTAAAACAACACACTCCTACACTTCCCTTCGAAACGTCTCGGAAAATTCTGAAAAAAATCTGTCGACGATCTCTGGGAAAATTAATTAATTCGATCGCTCGCGCCTCGCGGTGCTTTATCGAAAACCTAGAAAAAAACAGGAGTTCAGGACGGAGGAGAGGGTATACGCCTTGGATGGCTCCAAGATTTCTAGATGAGATTATGAGAACAGTTTCCCCGCGGGATTATAAATAACACGGGAGGGGAAAGGTTCCTTATTAAACTCGAAGCGCGCGGCGATCTCTCGATCGCGCCCAACGATCCGAATATAAAAAATCGAGCAACTCGAGGAAGGGAGGGAGGATGGTATATATGCGCGTGTACGTTTCTCTCTTAAGAAAGAGAGAGAGAGAGAGAGAGAGGGAGAGGGAGAGGTTCGTCTGTGAGGATGGCGCCACAATGTGTCTAGGCACCTACGCGTGGAGACGAGGAAGGAAGGAAGGGAAAGGTGGAGAAGAGAGGAGAGATAGCATCGGCAAAGAAGGTGGACGCGCGAGGGGCCATTTTATTGCTCGATAAGCAGATGAATTCGTCAGATAATTCGTGGCCCGGATGCAGATGATTTTATTAGGCGAAACGGCGGCACCGGGGGAACGGGACGAAAATTTTTCGGTCGGGCACACCGATTGAGATGACACACGGCCCCGGATGAGAGATCCTTGCCAGATTACAGAACAACGGACGCACGTACATCTTCTCCCCGCCTCTCCGTGTGTCTTTGCATCGCCTCGCGTGATCGATGGATTTTCCCTCGCTTTTTGTGCCACCGACTCTCTCTCCCCCCCTTACACTCTTCCTTTTACACCGATCCATCGTCCGGTTCGTATTTCGTTTCGAATTCT